ATTTCTTTAATCTTTCTTATTTTCAGTAGTGTTTAGTGGTTGATTAATTATTAGGTAAAATACTGTGCGATTGTGGCTAATAAAGGTACCATTGTTATTTAACCCATGGTCTTTTGTGTTAATTTTACACAGTTAACAATGTATTAATTCACTCTTCTTTCAGTGGCATTCACATGAACATTGGACATTTATTTGGTTGGTGATTAATATCGTTGCTGATAGCCATAGCCTAAATTACTAAATTGGTAAAAGACAACTGGACATTATTCTTTTAGGCATTCTTTGCAGAAAGAAAAATACATAGAAGTTGTATGGTTTTGTAGGATGATGTAGTTTTCATGCACATTGGGGAGTAATTCCTTGTGTAACGGTGTGTCATTCAGCTGGTCTTCTCAGGCTTTGTTATGTCTATGCATATTTCTCTACCTCAGTCAGATTAATCCATCCTCTCCTCTTGCTTGATTTGTCCAGCTCTGCATTTTCAGGCCCAAACAACTTCCTTGCTAATGGAAAAATATATATTGCTGGAGTGCATACAAGTGTGTTGCTAATAATACCGAATGAACTAGTGCAATGTGTTGTTTCTCTCCACAGCCTCATGTTTTTTCCCCATATAAAGCCGGACATACACTGTGTGATATTTTCAATCGTTGCACGCAGCTTCAGCTCAAACTGTATGATGAAACCGCAGGTTTTAAAAGTTCACAGCTCACGATGCACGTTCTCACACTGTACAGCCCAACACGCTGATGCAAACTAACAAGGGCCGACTGAATTTCAAACATGTTTGATTTTCTCCCAACCTTAAGATTCCTGATTGGGAGTTGGTTTTGAGAGGCTGATCACTTCTTGTTACCCCCTGTGCTACACAACGTTAGATGAGGCTGAAACTGGGACCGATCTAAAAAGTCTCGCATGACTGGGGAATCACCCCGAAAAGGGCAGAAAAATTTACAGTTTATGCCCAGCTTAAGAAACGGTGGCTTTGGGGATTGTTGAAAGCAGTAGTTCAGTCTTGAACCTAAACACACAATAGGTTATAAATTATAGGTATTATCTACTCTCTGTAGATATGAGAAAAAAAGATATGTGAAAAAAAGGCCTT